CCCCAAAACCCCAAAACCCCAAAACCCCAAAACCCCATACTTAAAATCCAGAATCCAACTATTAATAAAAGTTTTCTACTCAAATGCAGCAGAACCAAGTAAGCCAATGTCTCCTCTCAGGCCTGCTACAGCTGCTAGCTGCTGAGGCTAGCTAGTACTGAGCCCAAGAAGGCTTTCCAGCTACTCTGGTCAACATTTAGTACAAGGCCTTGATCGCTCTACCACAATAAACAAAACTTTATTTATTTGTAATCACACTGATGGAGCTAACCCTTAAATGTAGGACCACGATCCTGAAGCACAGCAAGAAGCTGTTGCTGATGAAGGTGACAGCCAGACTCAACAGAACAGTGATAAATGGGCAGTAGGCAAAGTGGTAAGCCTATTTTTGGAATAATTCCTGAAGCTTAATTAAAGTTAAAGAGAGTCTTATTTGATCAAAATTTGTTTATGATTACACTTACAGATGATCTTTAGGAGTCTATAAGTGCATACAACGAAGTACTCATTATCGTAAACCATGCCTTTGATATCCTTGTAGTTGGATGAGAGGCTTCTCTGTATTGAACAAGTGTGGTTGTCTAAATTTTTCCAAATTAGCTTTGATTCTGAATTACGTCGTTAAGTTAGTAAATTTGCTCATCAAGATTGTATCCTTTCTCTTTTATAACAAAGAGACAAAACATTAAACACTTCGCTAAGATCAAGCTGATCTAACATCCTTAATATATTTGAGAAAGATCAGTTAAGAGATGGCCTAAATAGCCTCAACGAGTAAGATGCTGTATCTTTATGTCATCTAAAAAACAACTAGTCTTCTCCAATCCTAGCTTACTCTTGAACGACTGCACTTATTTTGGATACATTAGTAGCCCCTAAAAATCTTAGAAGAAATTGTGAAGAAGATTAGGATAAATCTGTGGCTCATAACCAAGCTTAGTGCCTTAAGACACCTTAGAGTATCTTTAATACCTCTAATTGCCTTCATAAGCTTTCCACTAGCCCATCAAGCATGCTGAGATCTTTTCATGTGCGTTAGGAAATTAGGTTTTAAAACTAGCCAAGAAGGATTTTCTTCTAGTCATATCTTTTGAGTTATGAACTATACTTTCGTACTTGCACATAAAGACTTACTAGTTGTTCAGAGGAGCCATTATTCATAGCCAAGGGAGTATAACATCAGGTTTATAAATACATGATTAGATGAGCAAAGCGAGAGTAATTCGTTTACCATGAAAAGCTCTTTGTTTATTCGCTTCTTTGAAAGCTAACAAACCTAAAATGATAGAACTAAAGTCCTTTTAGTCCTAGATATCTTTCATTAGCTTAAATGTATTGTAAAAGAAGTAGTTTACGGACAAATACTCATTGTCTATAGCTCATACTCTTTTAAAAGTGTTGAAACCGTGCTTTACTTGCCTAAAGATACAGCAGAAAATTATTTTGGATTAATTTCATCATAAATTTGGTCTATTCAGGTTATGAAAAGAACTTGCCATAACGATTTTAATCCTTTTCATGTAGCACAGAAAGGCACAATTCGTCAGGAACTACAGTCTCAGAGATATAATCTCACCTACTGCAGATGGAGACTTTTGTCCATGTTGTGAAGAGCCAACTAATGCTCAAAGATTTAGCTGGATGTGTGACATCTCAGACCTCAAGATTTTAGGAATAGGGTTCCCTTTGTACTTCCAACTTAAGAAATTTATGATGATTCTTTACGTTGGACTCTTCATAGTAGTTTGATTGCCTTGATGATATTTCAACTTCATTGAAGCTTCAAGGACAGATAGCACCTATCGATTCTTGAGTGCTCTTACTATAGGGGTTCACAGTGTTCAAAGTTTGAATGATGACCCAGATTTGATCTTTCCCCAATTGATGCTTAACTCCTCTGCTATTGTGATGGTGGCATTGCTGGCTCTTTGTTTCAGATGCTTCCAGAACAAAATGATTAAGAAATCAGGAATCGACCCTCTTTTTGCTGAATCTTATAACTTATAATGGTCAGTGGCATCCCTAAAGAAGCAACTCAGGAAGAAATCCAAAAAGGTTTTGAAAAAGTGTAAGTCCAAGCTGCAGGTCTTAAGAAAAGTTCATTTTTATTTGAATGTCAAGGCCACCTTTTTCTTTGTGATTCAAATCTCTCTGTTGTGTACTAAGTAGCCAGAACCATTTAGAGAGAGCATTAATCTTCTTGATTAAGTCTACTTTGTTAATGATCATTAAGACATTGAGTCTTTAGTCAATAACATTCTGTTTAGATTTCCAAGAGAGCATGCTATTCAGCAGCCAGTTTTATGCTATGACATTCCGAAACTGATGAAATTCGCAAATCCTGCTTACAAACAGTAAGTATATTCGTGGATCCAAGTGATTTTCCTAAGTTATTAAACTATTGTAGAATAGCATTGTGCAACAAGTCTCTAACATTTATATCTTCCATCTTCTCAAATATTTATCAGTAAAGGATCAAATAAGGCTTAAGACCCAATAATAGCAATGCTAGATCAAATGCTAAGTTAGGATTTTTGCTATTAGCTTACTTTGTAATCAAGAGCCTAACTCAACACATGACCTCAGTTTAAACTAGAAATACTGACTTTGCTCTCCAAATTGTCTGCCTCTTATCTCTGTAATTATTATAGGAAAAGGAAATGCTTTTTCTTCTTCAAGTCAGGCAAACCAATAAAGAACCTCGATGAAGAAATGGAGCTTGTGGCTAATAAATTAGCACGTGTAGAGCATCGAGATGAAGTACTTCATGAGTACTTTACTGGCCATGTCATTTTGCCATTTAATAAGATCGCAGATGCTTACTATTGCTATGAAGTCTATAACCCGAATCTTACAGCTCTGTTATATCAATACCTTTCTAAATTGCTAAGTTGCTGCAAGAGAGACATCAAGAAGATCAAGATCAGAGGGAAGACAGTCACAGTTAAGCTAGCTCCTTCTCCAAACGACCTTATTTGGGAGAATATAGCAACAAGAGCTTGCAACAGATTCTTTAGGATTTTAGTATCCTCTTTACTTACACTGATAGTACTGGGAGTCTCTGTTGGAGTAAACTACTCCCTCACTCTTTGGGGAGACTCTCTTGAAAGAGATGAGTCAAGCAGAAGTTGGGCATTCATGATGAATGTATTATCATCCTGAGTGACTATTTTCTTCAATGAAATCATGAGTCTTATGATTACTTACCTCTCAAAATACGAGAAGTCTCAAACGTACACTGTGTTTCACTTGTCGATGGCAATTAAGATTTCAGTGTTTAGTTACCTCAACACAGTGGTGATTCCCATCATCATACATATAAACAGGATAAATTGGTTTGACTCAGAAGGGCTGATAACCACAATTACATTCAATATGCTGCTGATTTCATTCCTTGACCCTATCATGTTCGGCATCAGTTTGAAATCTGTGAAAGACTGGTTGATAAAATGGTATTCTCATATGAAAAGTGACTTGAATTTGACTCAGGAACAGATAAACAAAATTAGGGAGCCAAGGGAGATTGAAATTTATAAGAAGTATGCTAATACTACACTGCTTGTATCTATGACTCTGACTTTCATGTTTATGTACCCTTACATCATTGTGTTTGCATTCTTTGGCAATATCCTGCAGTATGCAGTAGAGAAGTTAGTCCTTGTGAGATTTTGCAAGATTCCTCAGAACATAGGGCCATTGATAGCAAAGAATTTTATTTATGCGATACCCATAATGCTCTTCTTACACTCTCTGGTAACATTCTACGTGCATTATAGGCTGACTGACGACATTGAAAACTCTGTGATTCCTCTATTAACAAGTGCAGTTATACTTCCCCTTACATATCTGTTATTTGGGTGCTTCTCAAGAGTCATTGATTACAATGGAGGAGACCAGAACAGGCAAATGAAGATTCTGTTCAAGTACGATTTCGACACTTCAAATCCTGTAACAATGCATGCACAAAGAATGAAGAAGAATCTGCTTCAGATGGCTGTGCAAGGGTAAGTATCTTGGCAATATCTCTAGCTGCTCACAAGAGCTAATCGTCCAAAGGACAAGAGAACTTATGCATAGACCCCAACTCTTCCTTAACGATGCTGTTTCGATGAGGAAGTTTTGGAAGAGAATTCTGGAACTCAGGAAGTCTTACCAGGGTAGACATCTTGAAAGAGAGGATTTGATCGATTTCGCTATTAATATCTCAGATATCCTTGGTATGTCCCATTTGGTTCTTTACAATAGTCACAGAGCTTAGAGGACTTCTGTGCCACTAAGATCTGGATTTCAGGAGACTTACTTAACATAGATGGATGCGAGATCAATGAGCCAGTGAGACCTCTTCAAGACAGACCACCAGCTATAGAAGAAGAAAAAATAAATTTGAGTCATTCTGAAGAGAATAATGAAGATTCTAATGTTACACAAAATGGTATAAATCAAGGTACTCCTTCAACTTTTCCAATCTTATTCGACCATTTAATTTAGAACCTCAGTTAGATCGTGGTCAAAGAAGATTTCACATTCAGAATGCCATCAGAAGGAATCAATCTGATAGGTTTGATAGTTCACTAGGAAACTCTCGTATGAAGTCAATCTGATCTTTAGTTGATGAAAGTAGTCAAGAGGCCGATATTTAGCTTGGGGGTCAGACCAGAAGGAGCTCAAGTTGAGAGAAGAGAAGAGAAAAAAGAATTCATTAATTCTGAAGAGAGGTATGTCTTAGATAGGACCTTATTTTAACCATTTTTGTGAGATTTAAGCAAAATTCAAATGTGTTTTGAGGTAACTTTTAGCTCTCTTTTCCTACATCATTTAAACAAAATATTTCTTTGTTCTCATCATTAAAGATCACTGTATTAAGTATTAGTTTAGCTCAAAGCTAACCATTATAGCCATATCTTGATATATCTTATCAAACAATCAGATTTTTTCAAGCCGCTTTAATTTAATCGTTATGAACTGACCTCTCAATTGTATTAGTCGTGCCTAGACATTATCTGTGCTTATATCTCTTAAATTACTGAAGAGTTATTTTAAATATCAAAGAAGGCTTCCTCAGGCCAATATTCTTTTAACAATAGTTTTTTGAGAGTTCATCAGAGCTAAGTTGAGACTTTCTTGCACCTCTGAGACCACTAAGAGGCTGATCTCTTGTTAAACTTTTATTGAATTTGTCCTAAAGTCCTTGACTTATTACACAAAATACAAATCAAAGCTAATTCCTTTGCCTAACACTTGGTTGTAGCTCAATGGACGGTCTAAGGGCAAATGGTCAAATTATACATGAACTATTCAAAGATGGGCATTCTTCCACAACTATAGCCTCTCAGAATGGAAGGATTAGAGAAGGGTTCAGTCAAAGGATAACAGAAGAAACCAAGCAGACCTGAATTGGCCTTGAGGGTAATCCCTACCAAGATGACCTAGACGGAGAGTCAGACCCTGCAGAAATAGATCAGTTTCCTAATAATCCAGTATTTGAGCGTGAAATTTGACTTGTAAGAAATGCTATCAAAGCAGCAGCTGATATTTCTGAACCTTCAGAGTATGCTCCTTCTAATACAGAATAATTTTTGATCAGTTTACAGAATAAATCTGAGATATTTCAGGATTTCAATATTTGTTTGTTACCCCGGGGTTTTGGGGTTTTGGGGTTTTGGGGTTTTGGGGTTTTGGGGTTTTGGGGTTTTGGGG